AAAAAAACAAACAAAACCAACAACAAAACCATCAACAAAAGATTGACGAAAACAAACAAAACCAACAACAAAACATTGACAAAAACAAAACAAACCAAAAAACCAACAACAAAACAACAAACCATCAACAAAACATAGACAAAAACAAACAAAAACATAAACAAAACCAACAACAAAACATCAACAAAATCAAAAAAACTAACAAAACCAACAACAAAACATACACAAAAAAAAACTATCAACAAAACATCGACAAAACATAGACAAAAACAAAATAAAACAAACGAAACCAACAACAAAACATCAAAAAAACATTGACACAAAAAAACAAAACAAAAAACAAACAAAACTAACAAAAACAAAAAAACTATCAACAAAACATCGACAAAAACATCGACAAAAACCTAAACATCAAAGACCTCCACCTAAAGAAGCTAAAGTTTAGCTGAGGTTCGGCTCATCATCCAGACTGAAACTGTTTTCTCAAAACAAAAAGTTTTTTATTTGTTCAGTTAATGAAAAGTTTCCTGAAGCAGCAAAATCAAAAACAAACATCTTTTTCCAACCATGGACATGTGAAACCCTCCATCACAGATTATTCAGTTAATAAATCATAAAGAACCACATTCAAGAAAAGAAATGAAAACTCCTCCTCCTGAATGAAACAGATTAAATTTATACTTAGTGTTTCAGATTAGAGGCGGGATTAAAACTTGATGTTTGTTTTAAGGACCTGAGATTAAATCCAGGCGTCAGCAGCAACTTTAAGTTCTTCATCGGGTCGGTCCGGTCCTGAGACCCAGACTTTCCAGAGTCCTGAGTCTCGTCTGACAGTGTTCAGTCTAATCTGAACTCAGATTATAATCCCAGCTCTCATCTGTAGCAGCACAGGTTGTTTCTGGTTGTAAACATTCAACAGGGTTAGGTACCGTGGGCCAGGTGGGGTCGGGTCGGTTAGAATCCATCGTCGTAATCTCCATCACAGCCGTAATCTGAGGAGCGAGAGTCACACTCCAGATTAGACTCACACTCCAGATTAGAGAAACACTCCAGATTAGAGTCATACTCCAGATTAGAGTCACACTCCAGATTAGAGCTAAACTCTAAATTAGAGCTAAACTCTAGATTAGAGCTAAACTCTAGATTAGAGCTAAACTCTAGATTAGAGCTAAACTCTAGATTAGAGTCACACTCCAGATTAGAGCTAAACTCTAAATTAGAGCTAAACTCTAAATTAGAGCTAAACTCTAGATTAGAGCTAAACTCTAGATTAGAGCTAAACTCTAGATTAGAGCTAAACTCCAGATTTGAGTCAAACTCCAGATTCGAGTCAAACTCCAGATTAGAGTTAAACTGGGATTAAATGTTAAATATAAAGTTTGATTTTCTTGGTTTAGATTTAATCTGCACCTTTTGTCAGCTGCTTCCTGTTAATCTGAGTCAGATTAAATAAATGAAAGATTTAAAAGTGAAGCTGAGGACATAAAAACTAAGAGGTGTAATCTGAGCGAGGCCTCATTAAACCTCCTGACTGCAGGTTGACCACATCTGTAAAAACTTTTACTACAGATTATAAATATCCTCTTTATTGATTCACCTGCAGAGTTTTTAATTATAATTTTCACTTTTAACATTTTAAAAAGATAAAAATCATAAAAGTTATTAAAAATGAGTCACATTAATTAATGTTTAAACGAACCGTTGCCGCCCAGCAGCTCCATGGCGCTGACACAAGGCTCCTCCTCCTCCTCCTCCTCTTCATCAGCGCCTCCTTCATCGTAGACGACGGGCCCGCTCTCCACCACCACCCCGCTGACGGGGGGCTCTGCAGGGGCTGGCGCCGGGCTGGACGCCGCCGGCTGGACAAACAGGAAGTAAACAGGAAATTGTAAACAAACGGTGGGCTGCGGCGGCCATCTTGGAAACAAATAAATGAATATTTTACTGACAGACGGCTCACCTGCTGCACAGCCTGCTTCTTGTTGGGCTGTCGGCTGATGAACGGCTGCAGCCTGCAACGACATTCAGCTCTTCACTCAGACACAGAGGAACTTCAGCTGATACATTTCATGGTCTGAGGAGGAGGAGGAGGAGGAGCAGGAGGAGCAGGAGCAGGAGCAGGAGGAGGAGGAGGAGGAGCAGGAGGAGGAGTCATCCTCACAGGTGTCAGATTTGATTCCTGACACTTGTCCAGCTGTCAGCACAAAAAGTTGTGTGCTCCAGGTTCTACACCCACATTGTGATGTATTAAAACCAACGTTGTGTGAAAGTGTGCGTATATTTACACACAC